AATTGTGGCTTCTGTATAAACAATAACGATTAATGATGGTGTTGTTGACATGAACTGAACTGCACCGGGAACACATTTTGCTTCTGATAATTTTTGCAACCATTTTTCGTGTATTCTCTTTATTGATTCATCTTCGTCTTGCGAATTATAAAGTGACGCCTTGAATTCAGCCTTGATTTTCTTGATTGTTCGAAGGCTTGTTCCAAATCTGTCGCAATTAAATGCACATTTTTCTTCTTTCGTACGTTCTTCCTTCATTTCGTAATACAATTGCCGTTGGGTGGCACCTTTGGCCATCAATGATTGTAAACTCGAACGATCTGGGTTACGTAAACATCTAGCGGCTAAATAACAATCATGATTCACAACGTTTGTTGGTTCATATGCATGATTTATATTGTTTTTTGTTGTTCGAGCGCTTAGTTTGGTAAAGATATAAATAAATCCGTTTGTTTTTACCAAAGCGCGACAAAAAAATGCGCATTCTTTCCGTTTACAATAAATATTACACGATAATACATAATTCGTTGTACTGTTTGTGTTTGATAACCTTCCATAATTCTTGTGTTTAAAATTTCCAGAACAATATGGGTTATATTGTTTAAAATATGGTAATAGAATATGAAGCCATCGATAATCACTGTTTCTTCTTTGATTTTTGGTGTTACCAAGTAATTTATTCACTTCTTGTTTGCAGTGCTCGTTTTGTAATTGTTTCAATGATTCAAAATCTTTGTGTGCCAGTCGTGTGTTGAATGTTGTTGGCAATGACTTCTTGAATATTTCATTGATTGGAGCACTAGTTGCTACGTTAATCATTTCTAAATCTTCAGAATCAATGTTCTTGTTATCTAAAAGAAGAAGCAAAAAGAAATATTAAGCAGGAAAATAGATTTTTAGAGATAGTCTCATTTTTGTAGCTGAATCAGAATGGTCCAAAAGCAAGAGCCACTGAATGTTGGTCAGATGAGTAATTTTATCGTCGGTTCGTATGAAAATCTAACGCTTTTGTTATCTTTTCTAGTCTCAAACTTTTGTGTAAAGTAGGAGGTTTACTGAGAAAGGATAACAGCAGATAAGGCAAGTTTTTAATTAAAACATTTCATACATATGGATATGTAGGTCTAACATTGACACACATTGTACTGTATCTGGTTTCTCTATCAAACGAATTTTATATAATTTCGTTTTTTCCGTCTCGGTGGGATTTTACCAGTACGCTAGCAAAACTTTTCTAGGCAAAAAATCATGTAAGACTTAAACTTCCTTTTATCCGTTTTTTTTAAAAAACAGGGTATCAGTAAAATATAAATTTTTCCATTCATATTTCGAGTCGCAATAATATATCTTGTAAGAGCATCCCTTTTATCTTGACCACAAATCACATTAGAACATAAAAAACCGAAGATGTTTATGTTCTAATTGTAGTGCACTGCAAAAACTGGTTGGGTTTCTTTAATATAAACGTATTTACATCATGTTTCCATGGATAGAAAAATAGAACAAGCTTACTGTGGCGAGTATTAAACCTTGTATCATCATTATTAATGTGTTTATGTTCATTCGTTGTTATTAAGCTAAATTTGTTGTGCTTTTCGTTCTTATTAGGTTGTGACACATGTAAAACGCTTTGTTCATCTGAAAAGAAAATTTGGAAACTTTTTCTAAAGCTAACGATGTCGTATACCCTACTTTGTACATCATCCTGAAATAGTCGATCGAAACCATTTTTGATCAATATCTTTCCACAAGAATCATAGAATTGTCTTTCTGTATTGCATGACGTAGTAGTGTCTAGAAAAGAAAGAACGATCAAATTACTTTAAAGCACATCCAAATCAGTATTGGAAGCAGATTGACAGTTTGCGGGGGTAGAATCAAAACTAATAGACTTTTCTAAGTGTGTTATTGTATAGAGCTCAGAAAAGATTAATTTCACTTTTCTATAGAGTGATTTTGGAGATCTTTGAATTGAATGTGAGACGTTCTTAAAGTATATGTCATACCAAGTGTCCTAATTTGCTGTATATTTCAGACTAATTCAGTCTAAGGCTTTTTTCCCTTTATAAGCGACCAAAAGTTCTCGTGCTGAATTTAAGAAAAAAAAGGTTTAATAAAACTTACTGGTATTGATACGGGCGCTGCATACAAATAAGTTTCCGATATCTAAACAGAAACAATTTTTTATGTTACCGTGAATAATTAGTGGTATTATTTACCTTGACGAAGTCTAGGTATGTTTCGCCTGATAGTATTTTGTGAATGCTGAACAAGAAGAGGAGTGTCGTTAAAACCATGATCTGAAACAGAATAAAAAAAGAATTAATCCGTTTTCTTGTTCTCTTGCATCGTACACACCGTGTAAGATGCTGTTATGATAGATTTCGTCATAATCCAAATCATCTATTATTGTGTCTTCTGATGCGAGCGATGAAATAGCATCTGTGTCGTTTGTATTTCCAATGGTTATTGTACTTTGACATCGATAAGGTTGAGAAGATTTTTGTTTTTGTTGATCGTGTCGTTTGTTTGACGTGCTGGTTGTTGTTCGTTTTCGTTCAATTTTCATTGACTGTTGTTCTGGTGGCTCTCCTTCGGAGACTGTGAATATTTTTTGGGCGTATGCGATCACATAAGCATTTTGTTTTTCGTTTAATACATCTTTAACATCGACTCTGGTTATTTGATGATCATTAATTTTGATCCAACTATTATCATTTTTTTTTACATAAATAACATAATGACCAAATTCAACTGTTGAACCATAATGACAGAGAACAGCATATAACGCATAATCATACGACGACGATTGTTGATTATAATTGGAATAGCCTTCTAAATTCAATGTTTGTTCGAATGTAATGGGAGCGACTAGTTTTATACCCCGATTGTTAAATCGTTTTAATTGTAGAACTAATGCTGGTGGTGTGTGTGAAATACAAATTCTTTTCGTTTTTCCCATTTTTTGACAATCATCACATTTGAACGAATCGATAAACTCATCTTTGAAATAATCTATTAAACATTCGTGCAGTGAATGATGATAATTCATGATATCAATCTGATTAATTTTATCTAAGTACGTAATTGGCAGTGCTAATATCAGTTCTTGTTTGGATGTTGAATCGTACGATGAAAGACACTGTTGACCATCTGTCCTAGAATATTGAAAAACAAACATAAAGTAACTAAATAGTTTTACTTTATCATTAAATGGAGTGAAACAGAACTAATAATAACGAAATATACGTAATGAATTACTGACTTATGTGGACATCGAACTTGATCAAACAGTTCGAGACTCATAGCTTGAACGATTGATTGTATGTTTGGTTCAGCATTTGACATGGGTTGATGACTATTTTTATCATCCAACAACATTTCGTTTAATAATACATTTAAAAATTCGGCAGCATCCTCTTGTGTATTGTCAACTGGATAATTATAGCGTGCTTTCTTTGTTGTTGGTTCTTTATCACGTGTATGGGGCTGTTTTAAACTCATCATTAACTGCCGAGCGTTCGAGAGTAAAATTTCACTGGGCGCAAAATATCGGCGGTTTATAGAAGCGTTGTGAATCTCCATCAATAGCGTTTGTACTTGACATTGCCAACAAAATGTTTGAGATTCTGAAAACACTAAACATGTGCAAACAATTTTTTTAAACTAGGGAGAGCGGCAAAGTTTTTTGTTGAAAAACCTAAATCAACCTCAGTGACTGTTTTAGACTTTGTAATTAAAAATCAAAATCTGTCTGCTTTTGAAAAGTACTATGTTGCTACATTATTTTAGCATGCAATCTCTATTCTAGATTCTACGTAACCTTTTCTAACATAAAATATCTACGGATCCTATTAGCTATGAGAAAGCCATTTTACCTTTTTGAACACTTCTTGATTTTAAATCAATTGAAAAACGATACTAGAAAAAAAATTG